ATATATTTACTTACCATCAATAAGTAATAAGAAATAAGTGATTCGAACACTTAACCTGCCGCGTGTAAAACGGATGCTCTACCAATTGAGCTAATTTCTTTTTTTTGTTTAAAAAGTTTCTTTTTTTATGGGGGCTTTAATAATAATAGGTAAATCCTAAATGAATCTTCTCCCCCGATTGCTGTAGAAATATAAGTCTATCTTGCAATCTTCCAGCTATAAAAAACATTTATCTACTGGGATATGTTATACTATCTGGTAAGGTGTTACCTTTCATAACAAGTTAACGGTAAAATAACCATTATTTTATAAAAATTTAGAGAGAGTTATTACATAGATTTTATCCTACTAATGTTCTTGTAATAAAGATAAGAATAGGACAAAAATGATCTGTTTATAGAACAGTACTATTTATTTTTGGGATAGTCACCACAAGGGATTATAAATAACAAATTTTACCATTTTCATAACAAGTTAACGGTAGTCTAACCGTTATTTTCTATTTAACTGTTAAGTTTTTCCAGCAAAAAAAAAATAAAATTTTTGCAGGTTTAAGTCGTCTTGTATGACTTACTTTTTTTTTAATATATCATGATATATTAAAAAAAAGTTCGCCGGAAACTATTTTTTGTGTCTTAAATCCACAAAAGTATTTTCAACAACAGTAACACCATACATTACAAAAGTAAAGTAGAAGAAGTATAAAACGGTACTTATTTGACCAAATTCAATAAATGGAGACTCAACGTGTTTAGCCCCTAATTGCATTAAGATTAAGAAATTAGCAACAAATACAAAGAAAGCTGCTTTACTTAAAGGTCTAAATTGCATACCTCTTGATCTACTTACATCTGTAATAGGTAATAGTAATAATATAAGAATAGCTGCGAACATTGCTATAACTCCTAATAATTTGTTAGGTATAGATCTTAATATAGCATAGAAAGGCAGAAGGTATCATTCTGGCACGATAGCTGCAGGAGTTTGCATAGGGTTTGCCACAACATAGTTTTCACTATCTCCTAATACATTAGGCATAAAGAACACAAATAAAGATAATACAAATATAAATGCAAATATTGTAATAAGATCTTTAAATATGAAATAAGGAGCAAAAGATATTCTTTCGTAGTTTCCTGATACACCTAAAGGATTTCCTGATCCAGCTGTATCGTGTAAAACGATTAAGTGCATTAGTGCTAAAGCAGCTAATACGAAAGGTAAAACGAAATGTAATGAGAAGAATCTATTTAATGTTGCATTGTTAACACTGAAACCTCCTCAAATGACGATATAAACGAATATTAATCGTTTTAATAGGGCATTTAATCCCTATTTTCACCAATTTTATATATATTTGGTGTTTAGACTATGTCTTCAACCAAGCATCATTAACTATAGTTTTTAATGATTGGTTGTGGGGTACTCGTGTCGAGCTTATTGTTGGTATTACTCACTCATTAGTCGTTGAACGTTCTTGATCCATTTATAATACCGAATCAAGCTTCGCTGCAAGTAATCTATAAATCGGAGGTTATTATTTATAGATGTTCTTGCAATTCTCCCCATTTGCCTATTGAATGTTACCATTCAAAGGAGCCCATTAATACAGATAAAAGAAAATAAAAATGAAAGAATGTAATTATTTGTTGGAAGGAAAATTAAGATTACCATAACGATTGCTATTTCTTAAATCATTTAATCATTTTATATAAGAAATACCTTTAAGTCCTATCAAAGAATGTAAACCTGAAAAAGAAAAGAAATTTATAACAGTTTGTATGTCAGCTTTGGAAGATACAGAAAACTGATTATACATATTTTTTTCAATATCTATCTTTCTACTTGTATCAAACACTAATTTAAATGATTCAAATAAACTAGGATGCATTATTTGTTTCAATTGAAAACAACCGTCATTATTACTTTTTATAAAAAATGACCCTTCTGCCATTGTAAAACCAACTATTCAATTTTTAAAGAAACTTAATTTAACATAATCTACTGCATCTACTGGTAAGTTAAATATTTTAACCATATTATTTATATCTGGTATAAGATCAAACCTTTTTATGTCTTTATCTAGTATTACCATAGCAGTGTTAAATTGGTTATTTCTTGTTTCAGTTAAAAAAAATATGTTATGGTGTAATAATAATGGGAACAGAATTTCTTGTAAATCAGTTTTGTTAATAATCAATTTACAAGTTGGACTTTTATTATCTTTATATATAGTAATCTTACCTAAATTTAGAACGGAACGTATATACTCTAAAGTTGAAATATCCTTTAAATGAATAGATATAACTAGCTTAATGGCTATAAATCCTTTAGTTGTTTTTGTTATTTGTATGTAACCGTCTCCGTCTATCAATCCTGCTAAAAAAGACAGAAAAGAAGGAGGTATGGATAAATATTCTTTTTTGTTACATCTAACATTTTTATTTCCTTTTTTTAATGCGTTAGCACTAACAGTACCTATCGTAGGTAGTAAACTAGATAAGCAATAAACTGTAGTGTAGTTTTCTGTAAAATTATTTGACTCAACAATATCTTGACCTACTCAAGGTATAGCACTCATAAGGTTAGTAATAACTGTTGCACCTCATAATGACATTTGCCCGTATGGCAAGACGTATCCCAAGAAAGCTGTAGCCATCATTAAGATAAAGATAACAGTACCAATAGTTCATACTAGAGTTCTAGGTGCTCTGTAAGATCCATAGTACATACCTCTACCTATGTGTAAGTAAACTATGAAGAAAAATGCTGAAGCAGTGTTACTATGTAAATAACGTATTAATCACCCGTTGTTTACATCACGCATAATATGCTCTACACTATTAAATGCTTCTGCTACACTAGGGTTGTAATGCATTGCTAAAGTTACACCAGTAACAATTTGTATAATTAAACAAAAGGCTAATAAAGAACCAAAATTTCACATGTAACTTAAATTTAAAGGTTGTGGTGAATCTACTAAGTAAGAATTCGCTAATCTTAAAATTGGATGACTTTTTAATAATCTCATTTATTTTTTTTTTATTTTTTAATCTTATTTCTATTTAATAAATTATGTTAACAATTATACTGCTTTTATTACTATTTTACGAATCTGTTATAAACCGTAAAATCTTTTATAAATTTCCTGTTATTGTTTATATGTATTAGTATATAGACATTTATATCCAACACATTACTATTAAGTTTTATCTTTTTTGACCCCTTTTATTACTATTTTACGAATCTGTTATAAACCGTAAAATCTTTTATAAATTTCCTGTTATTGTTTATATGTATTAGTATATAGACATTTATATCCAACACATTACTATTAAGTTTTATCATTTTTGACCCCTTTTAATACCCATTACTATGAAACTTCCCCAACTAGAACAAAGGATTCCAACAATAAGTAATGGTTTTTTTTGAGGTTCCTAATTAACCTCTAGAAGTGACACAAGTGTAAATAAAAGTAAACTAGTTAAATATATACCTACAAACATCGACCATACTTAGCTAGCCCTATACCCTAATGTGAGTAGGATTTTCTAAACCTTTTTGGAGGTTTAATATTCAATTCTCTACTTTCGAAGACAAATCGTCTTAATATATCATTCATTTCTTGAATAATAAGTCAGCTTTCTGTTCTTGTAAATTCATTATGTATATCTTCTAAATTTGATTTAATCACTTGAAGACTAAGGTCATCTAAATCATGACCTAGATAAATTACACTTATTTGAGAAAAACTCTCAAGTATACTATATCTACGATATTCCCGAGTAAGGGAATATGGATATAATCCTTCATCCCTTGGCTCTGGGGTCACATAACTTTCCACCATTTGGAGGTTGCGACCTTATCTTTAGCCAAGACGTTAAGACGTCCGTTCTCCTAGATCGCCAATTGCTGTGCGTGATAAGGTCTCACCAATCAAATCATACAAGCTTATCTTTTTTCCGAATGGATGACGTGTCTGTATTCCCGGATAACCGATGGATGACGTGTCTGTATTGCCGGATAACCGATGGATGTGAGTCACATAGTAATCCACCTATAGAAGGTTTCAGTTTTATCTTATGTTGTTCAGATGACTTCTACTCATTTCAGTTATTGGGAGATTCGTCTACTTGGCTGCATTGTTGCCTGCTTGGCACAGTGGGTATGTGCTTGGCGTTTTAAAGTATAAGTACCACCCTTTTCTCCCCGACTATTTCGTTTTCACCACCCCACCAAGGCATCCCATACTACAAACATACCGTCCACCAACCATCCTTTCGCCAACCGCTTTTATCCACACACTTCTAATTTTTTTTTCTAGTAATTTCATAGAAATTACGTCGAAAAAAAATAAAAAACCACCCTTCCACTTACCATACCACACCACTCCCCACATCATCCACAATGGCTACTACTCTTTCCTCAACCCCTTCTTCTGTCGAAGTTTCGACAACTCAACCAGTTCACCAAAACCTCCCCAGGTTTTCTTCTGAACGTCTTTTTTTTCGATCACTCTTTGAGTCGGATTTTGAACCTTATCACCTCCTCCTGAAGCAACCTGAACCTATGCGTGGTTACGGCCTTGACGCAATGCCCGAAACGAACACAGCTCGACATTGGTTCAATGAATTACAAGACAAAACAAGAGTCGGAATCTTTCTCAAAAACTCAGATGAAAGGGAGGGAGAACTTATCGGTGAGGGATTGGTCCTTAAAATGGACAAGCAATGGCCTAGAGTGCATTATGTGTTCAAAAAGGAGTACTGGGGTCATGGATACGCCACAGAGTTCCTGAAGGCATTTTTGTCCGTTTGGTGGGGTCTGCCCCGTGAAAATACAACCATCCTTGTTGAGGAAATCTCCCTCGATAGCCAGGAGAAACATAAGGCAACTGAGCGGTTGTGTGCTGAAATTAAGATGGATAATAAATCAAATCAAAAGGTGGTGGAAAAGGCAGGGTATAAGTTTTGTGGAGAAGTAAAAAACCAGGATAAGGAGATCTGTGCCTTTTGGCGTATCATCTGTCCGAAAAAGGAAGAAACGGTTTCTTGATGTTAAGAATTTGTCCTGAACATTGTTTTTTTAGGAGTAATGGTTGTTTTAATGGAAGTTTACATATTGATTGTCTGGTTAGAGTATTCAACATACTCTACTTTCTTTGTGTTATTTAACCAAGAATGAAATTTAAATTTACCATCTTTTACCCTTGCCTCACTTTTTAATATATAAATCTCATCTTTTAATTTAGTCCTGTTTTTGACTTGTTGTAAATATAAATCTAAGAAAAAAGAACATAGATATGTTCTTTTTTTTTTCAACCCTGCTGTGGGACAACCCCTTATTTTTTTTGACGTTATTTATAAATAACTCAAAAAAAAAAAATAAGAGGGCTAGTTGGATAAAATTGAATTTTTTTTTACTAAGTAAGAATTCGCTAATCTTAAAATTGGATGACTTTTTAATAATCTCATTATTTTTTTTGTGGGGGCTTTAATAATAATAGGTAAATCCTAAATGAATCTTCTCCCCCGATTGCTGTAGAAATATAAGTCTATCTTGCAATCTTCCAGCTATAAAAAACATTTATCTACTGGGATATGTTATACTGTTTTGCCGCATGTAATTTAAACACAAGGGAACTGTTTTCATAACATGTTTATTGTTATTACCACCAATCTACAGGTTATACAAATCTTCTCTAACAGGATTTGAATTTCATCTTAGATTTTGAGGTCTAAGGGAATTGAACCCTTATGAGAATGATTAAGAGTCATACGCTTTACCATTGTGAGACCCTTTTATAACTAGTAATATTTTATTTATCGCATTACTAGTAATTTCCGTATAGCAGACGAAAAGTTGAAAAGGAGCAGAAGTCCCATAAGGACGCTTACTGCTAGTTTTTTTCTGTTTTTATTATTGTTCTTGTAATCATGATAAGAATTTTTCTAGTGAAACTGATTCAACTACAATTGGCATACTAGAATGTAGTATACCACAAATTTCTGAACATTGACCATAGAATGTTCCTAATCTGTTAATTAAAACAGAGAATTGATTTAATCTACCTGGGTATGCATCACATTTTACTCCTAATGCGGGTATGGCAAAAGAGTGGATAACATCTGCTGCAGTCAGAATAAATCTAGTATGTGTAATTTCAGGAAGAATAACTCTGTTATCAACTTCTAACATTCTTAACGCTCCTTCTTCTAAATCAGATTCAGGTACTAAGTAAGAATCAAACTCAACAAAATCTCCATCACTATTTAGGAAATCTGGATATTCATAACTTCAGTATCACTGGTGACCCTCTGCTAATACAGATAGTGAAGGATCAGTAACTTCATCCATTAAGTATAATAGTTTGAAAGAAGGGAAAGCGATTAATACTAAGATTAAAGCAGGAGTAATAGTTCATACAAGTTCGATTAGTGTACCATGGTTAAGATATTTGTTACTTATAGGTGATTTCGAACTGTCAAAGTTTCTGATAATAGCTCCTTGTATTCAACCTACAGCAAATAAAATTGCAACTAAGTAGTACATAATGTTATCATGTAATTCTACTAGCGCTTCCATTTGTGGACTAGCACTATCTTGGAAGTAAAGTCCTCAAGCTCTAGGTGCATCACATATAAATTCGTTTGATATAGTAAATAAAAAGCTTATTCCTATAAAAAGAGAACTTAGTATACCACTACTTTGTAATGGTAAGCTAGTGAATGCGTGAGGTTTAGGTGGGCTATGTAATGCTCATTCTAATCCTGGAGCACATTTATCTTTAAGTATACGTAAGTAATCACTAAATAACTGAGGAACGGCTCAAGGGTATCCAAAGATAGCTTTACCTTTAACAAGTTGTAAGTATACAATATGTAAGAATAATGCTGTAGCAGCTACAGAGATTATAGAACCAATACTACTAATAAAGTTTCAACCTGTAAAAGCATCAGGATAATCACTAATTCTACGTGGCATACCTTGTAACCCTAAGAAATGTTGAGGGAAGAAAGTTAAATTAACCCCAGTGAATAAAACTCAGAAATGAGCTTTAGAGTAAAGTAAGTTATAATCTAACCCTAAAATTTTAGGAATTCAGAAATATCATCCACTAAATAAGGCAAATACAGCACCCATACTTAAAACGTAGTGGAAATGAGCAACTACGTAGTAAGTATCGTGGAAGGCAATATCAAGTGACGCGTTCGCAAGAACAACACCTGAAAGCCCCCCTATAGTAAACATGAATACAAAACCTAATGCAAAAAGTAATGATGGTATAAAGTGTAAAGAACCACCATAACAAGTTGCTAATCAAGAAAATATTTTAATACCCGTAGGAACTGCAATAATTAATGTTGCTGCTGTGAAATACGCTCTTGTATCCACATCAAGACCAACAGTATACATGTGGTGACTTCAAACTACAAAACCTAAAATACCGATAGAGCACATGGCGTAAACCATACCAAGGTATCCGAACACGCTTTTGTTAGAGTTGGCAGAGATTGTAGTACTTATTATACCAAAACCTGGGATAATTAAAATGTAACAATATTTTGACTAAAGGAATAGCTGTGTATTATAACAGTCTTTTCTCATTAATACTCAAAAACTTTTATATTCTTGTTAGGACTTTATCTTAAGTTGTAGTATTTTCTTCATGACGATTTATTAAAGATTTAATTATTAGTATTTTGGATAGCCCTTTATCTGTTAAGTGTTGTTTGTCTTGTATTAATCTATATACCTTTCTTCATCTTAAATAGCTTATATGCTTTCTAGATTGTAAGTGATATCGATCAAAATATTCTATAACCCTTTTAGCAGAACCGAAATTAGTAGAACCATAATAATAGGTATCTTGAGACTTCCTATATGCAATGTTTCCACCTAAGTATTCTTTTATTATATTTAACAATAAATCACTTTTTTGATCTATTTGAAAATTTAATCTTATTTCCGGTTTATTTCTGGTAATACGTCTAATAATTTTTATTTGAAAACTAGCATCCGCATCAGAAAAACCTGCTAATCAGTGGTTATCAAAATTTTTACTTGAATCTATAGTAAAATGAATATTTTGATCTGCATACTTAGTATGACTTAATACATTATTAACTACTTGGTTAAATCTGTGTTCTGTTCTTAATTTACCATTTATCAAGTTAATTATATTTAACATACCCTTTTCATTAGATACAATTAAAAGGTATGCGTTTTTGTCCTTTACTTTTCTTACATTACCGTAACCTAATCTTCCTTTCAAGTAATAGGCTAGAAATGCATCTGGAGAACTAAAAGTTATAACTAATTGTTGAGCTTTACTAAAATGACCATCCCCGTCTATTAATCCTGCTAGATAATAACCTAATTGTTCATTATTTAGAGGGTTCAAATGTTTAGGAACGTGATCTGATACACGTTTAACATTTTCTGAATTTACTACAACTCCGTCGCGTAAAGCCTCTGAGGTTCCATTTTTTATATATAAAATGTTACCGGCTGATTTCCTTCATTGTTCTAACTTTTTTACTATGCCATTTAAGGAGGAGTATTTAGAACTATAAAGCGAAGGGGTCCCAGCATACAGCGACGTTAAGAGGCCTACATACGTAACCTCAGGATGTCCGAAGAATCAGAACAGATGTTGGTATAATATAGGATCACCACCTCCTGCTACTTCAAAGAATGAAGTGTTAAAGTTTCTATCTGTTAATATCATAGTAATTCCCGTTAAATTTGTTGACCTACTGGATGAAATCCCATAGCTTAAAGTGTTGTTCTTTAAGCTTAAAAAGTTATTAAAACTTAGTGTAGGTACGCAAACACTCTCGTGCTTGATCGGACCATATCTTATATTTTTAAGTTGTAGAAGTTTTGTAAATGATCTCAAGTAAAATTTGTTCTGAAATTGTTCATACCTGATTTGATCTTTACTATTTTTTCCTTTCCTTCATCTGTATTATGCTCCTTTCTATCAAACATGTCTACTACTTCCATTCAATCTAATGAATCTAAATGTTTAGTTCCAAATAGAGGAAATTGTAAAAGATAATTTTTAGCCTTCATATTACCTTTAAGGTTAGTAGTTCTAACTCTATACTCAGGTATTGGTTTATCCGATCTTATTTTTTTAACTTCTGTTTCTAAAAAGTCAGCAATATGACTTAAGAAATCCAAATTATCATATCCTTTGTGATCTTCTCGTCTTTGAGATATTTCTAATTTACATTCTAATTTAGGATATTTACCTGAAAGAGTAGTTCTTACTTGAAAAGAAGCGTCTGCTTCTATAAACCCTGACAGTCATGGATTGGAATCTAAAGAGTGTTTAGATACAGGATGTTTTTCAATACTGGTTCCTTTAGTATTATTTAAAAAATCGATTAATGCATTAAGACTATGTATTTTAGGTGTTCTCATATTTCCATTTATTAATGAAATAACTAATAATATACCTTCATAGCTATTTATGGTTAATATATAACCATCTACCCCTTTCTTTCTAGATAATGAACCTACACCTAACTCTTTTTGAACAAGTAGAGCTAAAGGTAAATCTTTTAAATGAAAAACTATTTGTATAGCGGGGTAATTTAACTTACCTTTAGGGCTTCTTAAAGTTTTTGGTGTTATTATTGTACCATCACCTTCAATAAGCCCAGTTAAATAAGAACTAAAAAGGGATTTATTTAAATTTTTACTATTGTTATCAGTATGAATGCATCTACCAGCTGTGCATAAAGGAAAGGTCAAAAGTTCCAAACTACAGCAAAAATATTTTGGCGTATAGCCTCTGAGGTTCTCTAAAAAGTTCAAACTTAATAGATTACCTGCTGATTGCGATATACTTTCGTATAACGGTTCCCAGAATACGGCCAAATTTAGAGCCGGCAGAATTAGTTTACCGGCTAGGACAGGTAAAGATAATAATAATAAAACAGCTGTTATAACAACTGCTCAAGCAAATAATATTAATTTGTGTAATCTTATTCCAGGGCTTCTCATATTAAATGTAGTTGTCATGAAATTCATAGCCCCAAGTAAACTTGATATACCAGAAAGATGTAATCCAAAGATAGCTAAATCCACACTTGGACCACTATGACTTTGTATTCCTGATAAAGGCGGATAAAGAGTTCATCCTGTACCTACACCATTTTCTATACCACCTGCAAATAAGAATAAAACAATACTAGGAATTAATAATAGGTAACTAATATTATTAAGTCTAGGGAATCCCATATCAGGTCCTCCTAGTCCTAATGGTAATAAAAAGTTACCGAATCCACCTATTAAAGCTGGCATAACCATAAAGAAAATCATTATAATAGCATGAGCAGTAATAATACTGTTATATAATTGGTTATCCGCAATATACTGAACACCAGGTCCTGACAACTCTAATCTTATTAAAACAGAAAAAGCAGTTCCAATTAAACCTGCAAATAGTGCATATATTAAATATAATACACCAATATCTTTAGCATTTGAAGATAAGAATCATCTTTCAAATCACATGCTAATTCCTGATGTTTTTATTGTTAGATTGTTGTATTCATTCTTATTAGATAATATAACGTTCCTAGTAGATAAGCTACTAAAAGAAGGGGTACAAGAAGTCACATACATCTAAGAAGATAAGTGTATTCATAAAAAAGTTCATTTTACTACACTTTTAAGTAATAGTAATAAAAATTAACGGTTCGATCCGTTTAAAAGGTTTATTTTTCTAATTTTTATTTTTATTTAATCTAGAGTATATTTAATA